AAACATCAATTATTCACGACACTCCTGCTAATACTTTTATTGCTATTTTATACTGTTGTTTACTAAACAGATTATTTTCTTAACTTGTTTTTATTTCAAAACTACCAATTAAAAAGATTGTCCATTTCGAGAGCAGAGAAAATACTCGAGAGTTTATTTCAAAGAGATTATTCATTCCATATTGCAGCAAACTTTTATTATTGGTATAATTTTATTACAAACATAAATATTCCTGATGTTATCATTTTCACCATTATTATTATCATCATTATCACTATTATCATCATTATTACTATCCATATCACTACAATTCATCATTACTACTACCATTTGGTTCCTTTTGCCATCATTTCCACATCAATTTGTATTACATATAAATAGTCAACAATTTGATTGTGATATTTTGAATCCAAGATGTCGAGAATACTATCGACAAATGACTTATACAACAACCATTAAGAGTAAAACATTTCGATGTTTACAAAAAGATTTATGGCTTATTCCAGGCAAAGCTGATGCTAGCTGTTGTAAGTTTTTTCATTTTTAAATCAATAAAACTTGCTAAAATTTTCAATTTCTCATCAATTTATCATTATTCTTTTAAAAAATTTGCCATTTTATCTGTTGAAAAATTAAAAAGATCATAATCCTAGTGAGAATAAACAATTATATGGGATGAAAAATTTACCAGTTTGTCATATGACATTTGACACATTAATTTATCTTCTTTCTTATTTGAAAATAAAATATGACAAAAAAAATCATTAGCAAATTAGAAATACTGTAATTAGTTTGATCGAATCATGAAATAAATTCAACATTGTTGAAGAAAGCCTATAAAAATATTTTCAATCTAGTTTATCATCATTTCCACATTTGCATATTTCATAGCTCTGATCATTTCTCAATAAATTATAAAAAATTGAAAAGACAAAAAAAAAAAAAAGTATTGATAAAAAAAGAAATCATTTGTGTATGGCATAAGCAATTTTACGTTTATAAATTGTTAAATCAGGTTTTAATTATTAATAATTGTAGGAGAATAGTGAGCACTTTTTTCGTTTTAATTATTTTAAATTTGGAACTGAAATAAATATGGATCAAATGAACAACCGGTTTTCTTCATTTCATTCATCCATCGTTATTATCGCCTTACCATCCAGTTCATTTCTAATATTTAACTCTCTCTATAAATTATCCTAAATCATTTCAAGTTAGGAATTGATTGTCATATAATAACTGCAGAATATGCAATAGTAAATAAAAAATAACATATAAAGTTTGCCAAAAAAAAAAACAGTAATACGTCAGATACGACAACAATAACACAACAATTATTATTAACAATGGTAATGTTACTGTTATTGCATCAACAATAACAGTAGCAGATACGTGAACAATAGCAGATACATGAACAATAAGAAATTGGAAATAAATAGCAAATTGAAAATGAATTTTATAATAGCTTATATGGTTTAAGGAGCTTTAGTAGTATGTTAATTCTGCTAAATTAAAAAATTTGAATAGGAATTTGTACGGGAACAAATGGATGCTATTTGTATCAACTTAATGAATTGTAAAAGTAACAAGCTTCATTTAACATTTCATTAACAGTGCAAAATTCATTTATTGATTACTTAAGGATATACAATTTCAATCAATCAATAAATCAATTGGATAAATCATTTGATCATTCGAATATTTCATGCTATTCGGATTAATCATATTTTAAAAAATTTCACACAATATTTCAATGATTTCATACATAAATTCATTAGCATTATTTATTATAATATGATAAAGGCTTATAAGAGTTAATTCATTTGGACTTAATACCATTCCCATATAAAATATTAAATTAGAAATTTTATTTTTAGCTCGACCGGGAGGCAAAAAGATATTAGAGGTGGATCCACGACAAGTAGTCATTCATCCAAAGATTGTAAAACTTCCTGGTTGTTTCAACCTTGAAATTAAAAATATTCGAGTACTGGATAATCGTAATGCAATCGGAAACAGTTTCTTTGCAAAAGTTGAGCATCAATGGTGGAATGTGAAAGATTTCGCAGATTTGAAATGTCAAAATGCTAGCAGTAATGGATGTGGTGGTTATGGAAATAATTGGTAATTAATAATTTTTGATAAATAAGTTTCGTTTACGAAAAAAATGTAACTTTTTAAAATATTTATTTAATTTATCAAAAATTTTCGTTGTTTTGATATAAGAAATAACATTTTGTTTACTTTTATATTAATTATAGAATGAAATTAAACAGTACCGAAATGACAATAATAACATTTTTTTTCCAATCAAAAATAGTTTACTAATTTAATGCCATTCTCATTTCATAATATACATTCGAGAAGTAATACTTCAAAAGTATCAAAAAGCATCAAAGAACAATCATTATTCAGAAGGAATGACCTCAGGTCATATCTTCCTAATACTAAAGACTTTGATCAACTAACAATAAATTGTGATGATGCTATTTTTTGTTGTTTTTTTACTGTATCTTTAAGAATCAACAAAACTATTTCTTATTAATCATGTAAAAGAAGATGTTTCCACTTACATGTACGATTCATATTATCATAGTATACACGATCAATTATCATCTGCAAAGATGGAATTCATCGTTTTATCCAAAAATAATGCTTCAATGCTTGAACACGCATAATACACTGACTTAAGCTAAATTGTCTGAATTAAGTTAGTGTAATTTTTTAAGTTAAGTTAGCTTAATGTTATCAGCTGAGATTGATGTATCAAATTGGAAAGTTTAAATGTAAAGAAAATACATCATATGTACTAAAAACGAATACAATAACTTATAAATAATAATTAAAATATTGATATCACTAACAACAACAACAACAACAACCTATCACTTATCATTTCAACAAAATATTAAGAAAATATTATGTTCAAAATACATAAAATACAGGTAATTCCTCTATAATAATTGTTTTCAGCTATTATTGTGACATTTGCGAAAGTTTGCATCACTTACAAGAAGAACACGGGAAGTCAGCATTAACAGATCAATTAAAAGGAATTACCTGTCCAAAACATCCAGGATTCTACACCTTCAGGTAAATGTTTACGTAAAATTATTATAATCTGTTTCACCTGGATAATTGATACTCCATTGATCGCCCTTTATTCTTACTTATCGACATCTTGTAGAGGACAGCTTACTACTCCTGTTACCATTCGATTAACCAATAATGGATTATATTTTTATACATTTAATTTCCTTCTCCATGATCCAAGCGATAAATTTCAATAGGCTGATGCTGAAATTAACTTACCTCCAATAAAGACAATTAAGGTAATCCAACTTGACAATGATGTGACGAAAAATGGATGTTAATTTTAAACTAGTTAAAATCACAATATTACCTGCGATTTAGGAAAGAATTTTGCTTCAATGACTGGTCTGCTTTTGACAATAACGGTGATTGTCAATTTGATTTCCTTCAAGGTGACAAATTTTCTGACTATCGATCTGCACTTTCGTCTTTGCAACAAGTTGGATATGTAAGCTGTCTGTTACTTATTCAAATTTTTTCAAATTTCAAAAATGAATTGGCCTAATTTTTCTCCCAAACTTTTGATCTACGTTCATTTTATTAAAATTAATTTTCCATTTGATATCAGCATCGGTGATAGGTAGCAGATGATTAGGGTGAATTTGAATAATCTTCACGAAGTTATAATCGAGGCAAAGAACTAAGGGGGAAATACATGTGTCGAGGCAAATACATGTGGTACTGTTGTCCATGATTAGCAAAGATTTCATGGCCCTATGCAATCTGTTATAAATAACCTTGATGCCCTACCGATTGATTACCTTGGCAGTTGTTTAACTGTGATGATACTGTTCGCTTCATATTTACATTTCAGAACTGATTTACTTTGTTAATGTGAATTCCATTCCAGTTTGAAAATTCCCAATTTTACTATTCAATTAAAAAATCCTCACTTTAGCTAGAAAAAAATTTCTTGTCAAATCTTCTCCAGTATACCAATTTCTCTTTTCTGCATAGGGTACCGTGGTGGCAAAACTACGTTTGGCAGCAAATGCAACAAGTGAAATTGTTGAGAGAAAACGAATCAAAGAGGCACTAATTGAAGAAACCATACGAAAAGAACTAGAAGAAAGAGGGAAAGGTTGGAATATTGATAGTGAACAGTTTGAAAAATTCCGACAATGGTATACCAACTATCGCAAGGATACATGGCATAGGTAAGAGAAGTATAATATTAACAATCGAGAGATTGCAGTGTAAAAATTCGAGAAGTATTACGACATTATAGATGCATTGACATACGAAGTAGCTTAGGTAGAAATACAATCCTCATGAGAATTTTTCACAAGCCTACTCAAATTCAATTATTCTAAAAACCAAATTTTATAAATTTCAACACACTCTATAATTTTATACATTTCGTAACTGTGTGAATTTCTTTCGGTCAGATTCACTTTTGGAAACCGTCGTTAATCGCAAAATCCAATATTAATTGTTCACATCAAAGAAAATGTTCTCTGAAATCCTTTCAACTTCACTGTATTTCAGAGAAGAATACTTACCATGGCTTTTATATGAGAATGAAATTTCATGCATACGGCTCACTTTCGACGTTTGTGAACGAATCCCGAAACGTAATCCATTTACTGGTCAGTTAACATGCTTTTAGAATTAGTGCTATTCGATTCGACACATACCAAAACGCTTAGCAGTGCATGGTGATCTCCAGCTGATGATGGACAATTTCAAAAAACTACTAAGGAGATTAAATTTCATTTTTAATGCGCTCATTGTTCCAACTCATAGCATTATCAGTTCATAGGAATTTTCCATGTATACAGGACCGGGTAAAAGGAGACTTAGATTTCACAAATACTGGTAAATCATCACTGTAAAAACGTTTTCATTATGAATACCTTGGATCTGTCCGTGATATTCTCCAAATACCCCATGTTCTCATAATTTTGAAGCGAGGCTCAATTTTCAGCCAAATTTCCATCAGTTCCTTTCTTCTTTAGTTTATTCGGCAAGTCAGGTTTTCCCAGTCCACAAGAAAAGAAAAAAAAACAAAAGATAGAACACCAGAAATTTACATCGAAACCACCGATAGCGCAATGAAACTAGTATATATATTACAGTCTGAGATAGCAAAATTTTACTTCTTTATAAAAAGTACCGGACGTAAACACTTAAAGCATATGGATGTTACGGTTTTTTCTTTTTTGAAAGAATATTTTCTGTATATGTCCATTAAAAAAAGGCAAGTTCCAAAAAACTGTACTCCATCAGCTTTACATGTTAATGTTAGCTTTATTACTGCCACTATTAATAATTCTAAATTTTCATGAAATAAAGCAATTTTTGTTGTGGGAATAAAAGTGACTGTGAAATACTATACAAATTACATCAAGTCAGATTCTCCGCGATCGTACATTTCCTATTTCACGAGCTGCCCTTCGCCTTTCAAGTATAAGCTCGCGCCGTCGCTTTTCTCGCTCATTTTCATGACGTAATCTATCCAGTGCTTCACGATGTCGACGTACTGCACGTAACGATTCTTCATTCGTGATTTGGTGTCGCCTTGATTTTCGCGATGTCTCGGCGGGCTAAATTAAATTTAAAATATAAGGTAGAATTCCCAATGAAGCAGCAATTTTTTTTGTTTCAGTGAACCAGTGGTATTTTAGACAACCACAAAACTCGACCGTATTGGTTTTCATGATTAGCACTGAGTCAGAAAACATGTTGTATCAAACAGATAACTATATACTTTCGGCAACAAAGTCCTTTGGCTAATGTTTCGACTGTCCACTAATAAAATAAAACATGGTTCTCACCAATGCACTACTATCGATATGAACAGGAGAAAGTACATCGCTGGGATTTAAATGATTTCGCTGAACAATAGCGTCCATTATAAGCTTTCTAAGTTCCTCCATTTTCTTCTGTTTTGCCATTTTAACTCGTTCACGTATTTTTGCGGCATTTTCAGCACTTAACTGTCGCACTTGCTGATACCTGCAAAATTTTCACTGCTACTTTGAGCCGAAATGTTTCACCGATTAAGCAATTATATCTATACATTACGGACTCTAAATATTTTATTCATTCTCTAGGAAAGAAGAAGTAATCAGGTGATATCAGCTGAAGTAGCCATTCTTTTAATTTGTCTAACTTATGCTGACCATACCTTTTCTGGTAAATCTTAGTTATCATGCTATGTTTAAATTTGGGACAAGTAGGTAGCCCAGTGATATTATTTGCAATCAGAAAGTAAACTGATGGCTTTTTGAGCTATCTCATGACAAAAATAAATGTTACTAATAAAATAAAGAACAATACAGATCTTACATGACGTGGAATGTACAACGTAAAACACGAGTGAAATTTACAGAAATTAGAGTGAGTGAGTTAAGAATTCTAGAAATCCATAAGTTTAGAGCTTATTAATTGCATACTTCGAACTAGTAATCCTGCCCTCTCATCTTTAAAAATGCATCATAATACATTTCTATCTAATATTTCCGTTTTCTCTAACTTTTCCCTTTCCATATATTGCGCTTATACGAGCTCATAGCAAAAGGAAAGAGAAGTAATATAATGAAAGTTGCAAACAAAATTTTGCTTCCCTAGTGTCGTCATTCAAAACTTCAATCAAAATGTTAATTCAACTCAAATCAACCCATAACAACCTAATCATAATATTAGGAACGCAGCACTCGACATACCTTATCAGTCGACGTCTTTCACGTTCTTTCTGTATAATGCTTTCTCGTTGATTTGGTGTTAGTATTGCTAACTGCGAAGAAGTTCCAGTTGTAGTATTACAGCGTCCCATTCCGGAAGCCTGAAATTATCCTCCTTGAGTAAAACACTATTTGGTATCGCACGGTAGTAAAAGTAATTTAAAAAAGATTCTTTTTTAAAGAAAAAAACACCAAAATCGTCGAAATCCCGGACCCAAAATTGGTAATAAAAGGTCCACGACAAAACGCACCGTCACGAAAATTTCAAACTAGCGCCACAAATTGCGGCCCATGATATGATCGCTGCGAAATTTTGGTGTCTCATCCTTTTATGGAAATTCATTTTTTTGAAGTTTATTTTCCCACACTTAATCTATTTCAGCTTGTTCAACTGTTTAAATATTTCATTTAATTTCATTTTTGTTTACAATACACTTATGTGCCGCATAATGCGTATTGATGATTCAGGAAGCAAGTGGAAGAAATTTAAATTTTCGAGTTCAAATTTGAATTTTCTCATTTATATTACATACAAATTGAATTTACCATTCGAAAATTTTCCTTTTCATCAGAAACTGACAATCAGGCAAAACTTTGATGTGAGATTCGATTTAAGTGTTGAATGATCACGAGGCATTTCTGCTTACAATTCCAACGTAATACTCAAACTATGTTATCTTCACATTATGAGTGCTTTTTCCGATCATAATTGTTATTGTTTAGTGGAGGATACCGGAATATTATCCAGAAAACTAGATACTCTCCGGAATCTCACTTCATTTTACAATGTCTTGTGAAAAAATAAAAAAAATTTCATACAAGAAGTATATTATCAGAAAGATTGCTGTATCATTATGTTCTCTTTTCCTTCTCCAGTTTTCTTTTGCTTAATCCCTAATCTTTTGTCTTGATATTTAATATCAAGTTATATTACAGTACATTCTTTTTACATCCTTATCAGTGTATGTCAATAGTCGATGCTATGATATGATCAGTATAATGAACAATATGCAAATTTTGTTGAAAATTTCTTCCAGAGTTGCTGTCCAGATTGAATGAATGGTTGTGGAAGTGATAACGAGCAGGTAGTTGACTATAGCGATATGATTGTTGCTGATTTGGTGGAACCTATTGCAGGCGAATCGGAAGTATAACATTTTTCCGTTTCACTATATTCATTTATTATCTTTTAATAACTTCAGCGCCTAAGTAATTAAAACCGATAGTTCAGAATTTATTTGAAATGAATGAGAAATCCAGACGTTGTGAATTTGTGGGAATTTATTCGCAACATGTTAATAACATGAAAAGATAAGTATTTAATTGGTACTGAAATATACCAAACTTAAAACACAATTCAACTTTTGATGTTTGTCTCTTTGTTGCATATAAACAAGAAGTATGGCTTTTTGCAAAAAGGTTTCACGCTGTTGAGAATATGTAAATATTTAATTCATATTTAAATTCAACTATTTCTTTGTGATTTAATTAAATATTCTTTCCGATATGTTGTTATAGAAGAGTGAGCAATTTGTCATTGTTTTCAGGAATGTAAAATTCGATACCGAAGCTTGTCGAAGTGTGGTGGAGAAAAACTTGTGATTTTGGATGATTCAGTTACAGTCCAGGAATATCCATCCGGTGTAGTTCGACGTAAACTTACAGCAGATTTTACATTGCTAGATGTTGGTTATCTTTGCTTTTGTTGCATTTTCTGCTCTAATAATGACATGCGTTATTTTATCTTGTTCTTGTTCAGATTCTTTTCACTTTTCGTTTATTTAGCCTTTTTTTTTCCATTAGATTTCCACCCAGTTTTTTTTTATGTTTTCCTTCATTAAATTTCCATTCAGTAATGTTTTCATCAAAATATTAATCTAAACCGTATTTTAATACCACTTTCTCTTGAAATTTGCTAATCTTTAAAAATTTACTTTGCTGACCTTTCAAATTTGTTTTATTTTGCACATTTCGTATATATGTTTAAAATGCAGGTAGGAGTTGTCTAGTCTTATCTTTGTTGGTTCTTTTGTGCGACTTATTTGAATTCTTGGATATTTAAGCTTCGGAAAGTTTTCTCTCATCTGCTAGGTTGTTCCTTGTACTTCAGATTTTTGCAGGCATTTTGGTGTGAATTTCCAAGCACTTCTGCCGACAACGATCCTTTGCATGGTGTTTGTCTTATTGGACACAAAAATCTTATATTTGCTTCCGATACCGATTGGATTTCTTATACAATCACATTGCCATTCACTGTAATAATTTATAGTCGTTTCATTCGAAGATTTTACAAAAGCCAGAATTCATTCATTTGTGAAATTCGTTAATTTATATGCTGCTGCGCTATCGCTAGGTACCAAATGTCAAAATCTGTAGAAAGTTGAGGTTTTGGTATTCCAGAATTTGGCGCCCCAGTTATTCATTCAAATTTGATTGTTCGATCACATCTTCGGTCCAATTAATATTGCAGGTGAAACGTGTATTTCGAAGTGCGTTAGGATTGATTTTACAACGAACTGCCCCATTACCATCACTGTGAGATTTCAAAATAGTTTTTCAAAAATGAATTAGATTTAAGTAAATTGGCATTCACAGGATATCAATAATAATAATCGAAAGTTAGCGATAAAAGTATTATGTGATAACGTTTATTTATTTATTAGTAAAGTCAGTCGAAGTTACATCAGTATTTCGAATATCTGTGATGTGGATTTCAGGATTGCAAACTTCCCACATTTGTTTTCGTTGTCACATCCGTATTGCGAAATATTACCAATTATATCAAAAAATAAAGGTATTTTCACTTTTTTATTCTGCATGTGGTGCTTTATTAAGAATTTTTAACACATGAGAATTTTTAAGGATAAAATGACTATCAGTAGATAAATTTCGATACCATCAAATTAAGCTCACCGAATTAGTCGGTGAAAATATGAAATGTCGTTTTTGTTCGATTTAGTCTGTGTAATATTTGGTATCTAGAGTAGCGCATAAAATGGGGAATATCTTATTAAGTATGATCATGGCAAAGTGAGCAAATGCTTCATTAGTGAGATCTATCTACTGAAAATATCTGAAGCATTTAGGGGAAATAAAGGGAATTTATCTACTGAAATATTATAACGGTCCTGGTATTTACCATAGCATTGGTGTCATCTAAATATGGGCGTGCATTCAATCAAAAAAAATGACTAACATGACCCACAGAAAACGATGTTCAACGGCTTAGCTAATTATTTCGATCCAATTGTTGTTATGCTTTCAATGGAACTTGATAAATAGCACTTCGATGTACATTTCAGATACAGAAAGTTCATCACATTATGTTTGGGATAGTACCGAGGTAGCACTATTGGAAGCATTGAATGATTGTCAACTTTTATTAACATACTCGACGACTGCCCGAGTTCATTCGTTATACTGGATACGCAGAGCAACGAAAGCGGAGTGGAAATGTGCAGCGAGTAAAGCAGAAAGTGTTGTTTCATGTAATACTTCACTTACACCTGTTGGTAAGTTTCTTAATAAGTTGAAGCAAATTTAAGAGAGTTGTGTGAAATTTGATTTTATGTGATTCGTTTTGATTTGATCAGTTCTTTTTCAATTATTTATAACGTATTACACTTTATTATTTTATGAATTATGACACGTTAATTCCCTCAGTCAAAGAATGGTGGTGATTAATATAGAAATGCACAAAATTTCGGGAATTTTAGTAGGATATTCTCGAATTTATTTTGATTCAACTCTTTCAACTTTCAATTCAATTCTTAATCATTTAAGTTTGACTAGTTTAACACACCACATTCTGCTATGTGCAGCACAAGAAATAGAACTTGACTGGTTATCATAGAGTTTTCTCTTTCTTCAATTAACAAATAGTGGCGGGAAAGGTAAGGTTATGAAATATTGGTGTTAGAGTTAGGATTATGAATGAAATTGGAATCATTTATTTTATCTATCAGGTCGATCAAGTCAACTATCAACACCGCAGATGGGTAGCCAAACAAGGCATCGTTTTATGAAGAACGATTCGTTTGCTGGTAAAAATTTCTTTATTCCTTAAAAAATTTTTGTTTACTTTTCTAGAAGTTGAAGAAAATTTTTTCAGATGAAGCTTGGGTGACGCCTCAAACACGATCAGTGCGTACGCGATCCATGACTGCAGCAGCAGCGCTAATACAATCTTTACCTTTTCCAACCACAAGCCCTGCTCAACGTTCTTCTACGAAGTTAGTTTGTCCTTTCGATATTTTTACTTTCATTAAACAGTACGAGTAATCGAATTGGCTATCTGTTTGAAAGGGATAAAATTGACGATAATACTGTGAGCTTTTTTTTTTTTCAAATGATTTAAAATGACTATTTTTTTAAAATGATTATGGAAAACCATATCCAGTTTTCGTTTGCTCTATCATCGAGACATGCGTTATAATGCATAAGTAGGATGTTAGAGTTCTAAATACCTCGACGGGTAAAGAAAAGTTAGTTTGAAGGGAAAATTGAAAATTAATGCTGTTTTACTTACAGCCGATCAATCACAGATTCGCCGATTTTGCGCTTGCGAGGAGGAAGTAAGAATGATTCAGCTTAATTTCGAAAGAATTAAAAGCTTGAAATTCTTTTTGTCTTAGGCTTAAATCTCAGTATTACGTGGGAAGACTTTTATTTAGTGTCAAATTACTGCTTTTATCTATCTTGAATTTAATTAAGACTATAAAATCTCCTTAAAAGCAAATGAAACTAATGCACTTTTTTATACTTTCTTTGGAAAAGCCAACAGAAGTTTATCAGTTGTTGATGTTCAAAGAAATAGAAGTAGGAAGCTCTGGAATCTTCCGCTTATTTATTTAATTATTCGTCTCTTACATAATTTTTTTTACTGTTGGTTTACTTAACATTGTTCAACATTGACTCTGTTGTCTTCCAGAATAGGGTTTTATAAAGCTAGTCATTACTAATACACTTTCATATCGTTTCAATAGAAAATGTGATTTGACGCATGTCGTTGTAGGTACACATACGACACCTCGTCTTAGTTCCTTTTGTGACGATAGTATTATTTCATTGATTGAAACTCGTGGTTCGGAACTCGACCTTTTAGCACCAGAGGTGATTCATCTGTTTTTCATCATAGCTCGTTTTGTTTTGTTTTCTAGATCTTAGATGTACTTTTTCAGTTTTCTTGTGGTTTTCTTGCAGATTTGTATGGAATGTATATGGACGGAGCGTCGTCAAGCAGATCCTGATACAAGTTGTCCTGCAACTACTGCATTTCTTACTCAAGGTTCAGTTTTACATTTTTTAAATAGATTTGAAATTTCAAAAATTTATTCCAGCTGTTTTCCTTTGTTTCGTGTAAAAGAAAAGTAAGAAATAAGCCATTTTGCTATTAGTACTACGCAGAAATAATTCAAAAAAATAGCTGAAGTGGGGCTATGTTTACTCTAATATTGCGCGTTTACGCTGTTGAGATGAGCAGTGATTCAATATTGATGAGGAAGCGTGATGTTGGAAAGAAAAAAAATACAGAAGTTCTCGCACCAGCCTCAAAACATTACTTATGATCCGTCTAATAATTAAGAAACCTGGATTTAATTTCAGACTTCATTGGTCAAATGTTTGTATGTTTTTATGTAGCAGGGCAGAACCTCTTAAAATGTGTTCGAGGAAAGATGCATGATGAAGGACGGATGACTACAAGTTCCTTTACTACAATTCCATGTAAAGGGGCTGCAAATGTTAAGGTTTATCTTTTTGATTTTTCGAGTCAAAAAATTAGAAGTTCAAATTAAAACTGTAAAGGTACGAGAAATTCCTTACTGCAGGGACGCAAAATGATGGCAGTGATCGATCTCGATGGTACTGTGATTCTTTATAGTGGTATTACTCGTATCGGTGCCTTATATGGGAACTATGAATTTATAAATTTTAAAGAATCTTTTGCGAATGCTCAGGTAACATGAATTTTTAGAAACTTCGGCTCTTAACTACTTTCAAGTTGATGACATTTATTGCAACTTTGGCATTACTTGGTCCAAAACATGTGGTGGAATTCCTTTTTCAACATTTATTAGAAAAACAGTCTTAATTGGAACCCTAGGGAAGCATTAAATTGAATTTCTTAATTTTTCTTAGCTGAAAAGGAGATGAATTCAAATAAATTAAGAATATTAAATGGATTTTAGCGATAAAGCTGCAGTTTTCGAATTGTTTGTGCATCACATTTCACTTTTTCCTGCTTTCATATTTCTTGAAAAACTGAAATTAACTGGATATCAAATTTTTAGGATGTGCAAGAGCATACGGGTGCTTGCGGTCTATCAATATGTGCTCCAGTTGTTGGATTGCATACTGCCTTTGTAGGCCATCTGATTTTGGTATGCTCATCTCAGAAAATATAAATATGTGATGTCTTTTTCTTACAAGTATATTCTAATTGTCAGGCTTTTAATATGCGCAGTGGAATTCTTTCCGGAATGTTTCGATGTAAAACAGCTGTTTCAGTTCAATATGAAACAGTGATTTGAAGTTTTAGTAGCATGGTTTTTGGGTATTCTTCAAATTTTTTCAACAATATCAGTTAAAAGTAGTTCAATAATCAATAATTTTTGGATACATAAGTCTGATTTAAAAAATCTGATTGTTTCAGGAGACACAGAGGCATGAAATGGTGATGTGCAAGGTGCCATCAATTTCATCCTCATCCTTCGGTTATTTTTTTTCTTCATCATTGTATCAAAATCTTTTCTTGCAAATAGCTGTTAAATCACGGAAGATGGTTTGTAACTTTGTCTGCTTCCTTACCACTTTATTTACATTCTCCTTACAGTTGCTGAATGCCTCTCGCAAGTTTGTTCAAATTTACCCCTGGATAAGGCAATGAAACTATCGTCATCCTGGTGCACAAGTAATACTTCTGGTCTGTTAGATCACTATTATGATAATCGCGTTGCTGCGGAAGTTGCTATGTTCGTGCAGTTCATTTTTGCGCAATGCGGATTACATATTCAGGATTTCCCTGTTTTTCGCGAAGTAAGTATCTTCTTTATTAGTTTAGAAAGATCATTTCGAACGTCATTACTAAATACTAAACATTTTCAGCTTAGCAACTATTTTACGCCGTTTTGCAAGCTACTGTGCATTACTTTTCCTATTCTGCTCAATTTTTTCCCAACTTTAGTTTTTTGTTTAGGTTTTGTGGAAGTTCTAAAATAATTTTAAAAAGGAATAACTTCGGGACTATTTTTAGATAAATTTACTTCGAAGTCGTTGTGAAGAAGGAGTTCATAAAAAGAAGAAGCGTACTGAACATTCTAAGCATATTGGCGTAAGTACAATAATTGCTTAACTACTTTTGCTTAAAGTTAAAGTTTTTAAAGTTTGTATTTTGTAAACTTTCCTTAAAGTCCTGCACATTAAGGAATGGTGGGTTATCCTTCATCATGGTCAAAAAATATCGACTTTTTACGGATTTTGAAACTTTATTACCCCATTCTGTAGGCTTAAATAGAAAATAACACTTATATATTTTTCCTTTGCAGCTCATCTTTTTCGTTTACTTTACTTGCACTTTTTTGTCTCAGAAGCACTTTTCATATCTAAAACTTAAAAGATTTGGAAAATTTAAGAATATGTGAGGAAAACTAATTTTGAAGGACCTTCCTTTTTAATTTAATTGATTTTCTCAATTCACTTTAAAATAGAATTGAATAGGTTTTTTTTTTCTATGCATGTGTCATAATTTGTAAGGTATCTTACAAATGCTTATTAGGTGTCAGACTTTGTCCTACGGTGTTGTCCCATCATCTGTTCCTAATTCTTTACTCAGGTTTAAGTAGTTTCGAATTTCGTTAGGATCACGTGTTGGGAGGAACTCAGAAATAATTTAATTTCTGAAATGGCATCGTTAATCTCAAAAATAAGGGATGAAATAAATTTCAGTTTGAAGAAAATCAAACTTCACTAACATTTTCTTATTGCTCCAATTTATGGAATCTTCACAATCTTTATTTCATTTTTGTAATGCAGAATTTGAGTTCTAAAAACATTTTAAAGCTCTGTTTCAGTTTTAAAAAATATCTTAATGTTCTAACAAATATTTTTCAATTACTTCAGACTTGGCAAAAAATGAAGCACCTTTGTGGTAGCCGATGGTGGAGTTTTGATAACGCAGGAAATATCGCTTCGAAATGTTACAGTGTTTCAGTCAACGATGAAAGCAATTTGTATAATTATTCTTTGGCATTGTTTTCCGGATTACATGCTATTTATGAATCGGCCAAATTGGATAGGCGCACGGCTTCGTTATTATTCATTCTAGCATCATCACTGCATGCTTTTGCTCAGTAAGTATAATTAGTAATTCGCGGAAGATCTATAAGCTGGAAGAACTATTGATGTTTTATAAAATGCAAAATAATTAGCTCCATTTATTACAACTCTAGAAATTTCCCAAAAAAAAAAAAACAAGAAATAGTCTCGCAAGTCATCGAAGTTATTGTTCAACCAAAATTTTGGATGATTTGGGATATTTTATGCTCAGAATGAGTTTGTTTAAATTGTGCAGTTTTTATTTTATTACTAAGATTAGGGGTTTATATTTGAATTGACCGCAAGGAGAAAAAGTCAAGATATATTTCAATTTCTCTCAGTGTAGTTTCAAATTTACATTTTAACAATTTAACACAGAATTATGAAACTTCAGGAGTTTTATTGCACATATTTATTGCAGGATTTTTGATCTAAAAAGTTATAGTGATTACTACAGAAGGGACTTTCCTATATTGTCGAATCAAAGTTTCAAAATTTTGGACGGTAAGCATACTTCAAAATTTGTTTAAATATTATGTTTGAACACAACTCCTTATGTGAATCATTAGTTTTTGCATTTACTTATATTTGAATAACTAAAAGCGTATAAACCATTGAAATGCGTGAAAATCATAATGAACTTGTTACTTGATTTAAAAAATTCTTGGAATTCGTGAAACTTCTTTAAATTCTTGAAACTTCACACAAGTCCATTGCCCATATTTTCATAGGTGGACGAAAACTGCTTCAAACGCTTTTGATGAGCTCTCGTTTTTCACCGGAACGTATACCATCATGGTATGATAATTTATTACGATTTTTTGATAGCAAAAGCCATTTGACGTCGATCATATCGTCACACTTTTGTGCACCAATTATCATTATAATTGCTGTTGGATTGAAACGATTGGAAAATATTGCCGATGTTCAGGTTAGCGAGGACATTATCTCCGCATAAATTTTACAGCGATAAGCAAGTTATTTAACAATGAATCGATAATTATTTAATTTGCTTCTTTTTTTTTGGCACGTGTATTTTACAATTTTTAAAAATTTCATTCCCAGTCATTTTTTCCATTTCGCTTCTTCGTTAAATTTTTGAACTTAGGAAGTGATATGGTTTTATTACTTATTTATTTTTTATTGACCGAAATTTAAAAACTTTTTATTTGGAAGTTCATCATCGTATGATAAGGAAATGGAAACCATAAACACATTTATTTGCGAGCTTCGTTTATTTCCAGAAAGTTTTGGGAAAATCGTACGAGAAAAAGCTACGCTTGACCAGTGCGGATGCGGAACAATTCACCAGTATCCTGAATGAAAATTCTTCAGCAGTTGGAAGGTTTGTAATAAAGATTTAAAAAAACAAGCGCGATTTGGGTTTTAAAAGAATGTATATCTCAGCAAGAACTCTGCAAAATGAAATTTATCTATTTCTTCATCAAGTAGTAAAAACTACTGGGTATTATAAATTCTAATGACGAATAATATACATATGTATAAGCAGGGCATTAAGCAAGGAACGAACCAATAATTATTAGTATCATTGTTAATATTATTGTTCTTCGCTGAAATTGAATTGATATTTGGAAAGTGTTTATATCCTCGAATTTAGATGCTAATCTTGGCGAATTTACGAGGAGGTAAAGATAACAAAAGTGAATCTCTGGATATTTCTTATTTTGTAGATGCGAGAAGTTGGCTCAGTTGTTCAAATTCACGAGATCATCGCTATTAGATCTGCCACCAGCGGTTGCCATAATTTTATGTGAATTACTTTATGAGCAGTCAACAAAAACGTTACATTTCCTTACACCTACAGTACGTCAGAAAGATCGAAGGTTTGTGCTGTATATTATTGAACTCTAGTATAAACGGTTATTGTGTTTTTAGAGCCCTGTTCAATAAGTAGTTACTACCAATGCATTACATTAAATGACCAGGTATTTTTTTACAACAAAAAGACAAATTCGATTGTAATTTAAGGTGTGAAATCTCGGGATAACTTAAATTTAGGCAAGATAATTTAAATTTAGAAGTCCAAATTAAAGAGTTTTGTGAAATGAATTTTAATTAAGTAAATTTAAATTATTATCTATATACATGCTGCATTTGAAATCCCGAGCAATTAGGCAAACTCCTTATTTTTCAAATTCTATTTCCTAATTTTTAGTCATATGCCGTCTGAGGAAGAAATTTTTCTAATCACGCGGCGTCGATGGAAACACGATTTGCGATGCATTAATATAATACAAATGCTTGATAGCCGGCGACCAATTTTTATACCATCAAGCAATGAAGTAAGTTTTATAGACGGTAATAAGTTAAAAGTATGATTAGCTTCTTATTGTTTAGATCTATCTTTCTTATTTTATGCGCCCTTTCGTTCAGTATTTGGGCAATACAGCAGTAATAACTTTAAAGTTTTTTTCTTTTTTTTTTTGTTAAAAGGCAAGATTGGTTGATACGGATTTCTTTCTTTCTTTCTCTCTCTCTCACCCTCTCTCCCTCTCTTTCTCTACAC